AAAAAAAAAAAAAGTGATTGACACGGTATATGTTTGTTTGTTTGTTTTTTAGAGACAGAGTCTTACTTTGTCGCCCTCGATACAGTGCTGTGGTGTCACAGCTCACAGCAATCTCCAGCTATTGGGCTTAGGCAGTTGTCTTGCCTCAGCCTCCCCAGTACCTGGGACTACAGGCACCCCACCACAATGCACGGCTATTTTTTGTTGCAGTTTGTCCGGGCCGGGTTCGAACCCACCACCCTGGGTTATATGGGGCTGGGGCCATACCCACTAAGCCACAGGCGCCACTTTAAAAAAAAAAGTTTTAGAGTAATGATATTACTCTAAAATTTGTACTCCACGCTGGTACAAAAATCAAGAGCATTTATCAGTTTCAGTTCTGCTGGAGCATTCTAGAAAGCCTCAATATTCATTAGGTGCCGTAAGAACCGCTTATATCTGAAATTTTTAAGTGTATAGTTGCACCTGGTTAAAAAACATGACTTCAATGGATTGGCATAAAGAGACTAAATAAAAATGAAATAATTTTAAAGTCCTAGAAACGTGAACATTAATTCCCCCTTTTTTAAATTTTAAAAATTCATAATCAACACCTAGTTGTCCAAAGAGACATTTGTGTCTATGTAATCTGGAGAAAAAAACATTTTGACTACAAGCTTAAAGTACACTGCAATGCTGGCTGGCCCTTAGTGATTTGATCACTTCTTAGGCCTTCATTCCACTCTGGGAAAGTTCATATTTAAACTCACAGTTTCACAGATTAAATGAAGGCTGAGCAACTAGAAGGAGAATCTTACTATTTGGAATGTATATGTGGGAAGCTGAAGCCACGTGATATGAACTTTTCCCCATGTTTTGTGAACAATTTCCAGATATATAGACAATTTGAAAGAAGTTTAGGGTGGCGCCTGTGGCTCAAAGGAGTAGGGCGCCAGCCCTATATGCCGGAGGTGGCAGGTTCAAACCCAGCCCCTGCTAAAAACTGCAAAAAAAAAAAAAAGTTTACTGTGGTCTGTGCACCCAGTAGTTTTCTTACTGTCCAGGAGAACTCTGTGCAGTGGTTATGTCTGCTGTCTCCATTGGAGTAGCAACTTGAAATGTGGCCAGTGCCAGGGAAGAACTGAGTTTTACAACTTTTATTAATTTAAATAGTCAAATGTGATGAGTGGGTACCATGTTGAGCAGTGCAAACAGACTACAATGAACATTTTACTGTACTTGCCTCATCACATACCTGCCCATACTTTTATCTAGCCTGACGTAAATTTGAGAAAAATGCATTCAAGTCAGGAAAAGTTCTCCTTGTCTTATTTAAGTGATTTAGATTTATTGAATTGTGTTTTTCTGGTTTTAGGTATGCAGGTGTCAGAAGTTGAGGTAGCGCACGATTGAAAATCATAAAAGTTTTTATAGTATGTTCTTCTAATTTTAAAATAACTTATTCATCAAGGAGAGGCATTCAGAGGATACTTTTTTTTGTTTTTTTTGCAGTTTTTGGCCAGGGCTGGGTTTGAACCTTCCACCTCGAGCATATGGGGCTGGCACCTTATTCCTTTGCGCCATAGGCTCTGCCCCAGCACCCTACTCCTTTGAGCCACCCAGAGGATGCTTTCTTGTATTCATAACTATATATTTTGCATATTTCCCTCAGACTTATTTTAAACCAGGTGTCTGTTGCCTTTATGCTTAGGAAGCCTATTGTGTCTCAGATGGTCATCCTGTGAGTAAAGGAATTAGAGGGGGGCGGCGCCTGTGGCTCAGTGAGTAGAGCACTGGCCCCATATACTGAGGGTGGCAGGTTCAAACCCAGCCCTGGCCCAACTGCAACCAAAAAATAGCTGGGCATTATGGTGGGTGCCTGTGGTCCAGATACTGCGGAGGCTGAGCCAAGAGAATCGCCTAAGCCCAGGAGTTGGAGGTTGCTATGAGCTGTGCAACACCATGGCACTCTACTGAGGATGATAGAGTGAGACACTGTCTCTACAAAAAAAAAAAAAGAGAGAGAGAGGGAAGAATCGAAAATTTGTGGAGGGGGAAATCTTTGCACTTTATAGTATATGCAACCCAGGTTCACAAGCCTGAACTTCCAGTTCAATTAGAGATCCGCAGGAAGAGCAAGAAATGTGCCCTGGCCTCAAAATTGCAGCCCAGGGAGCTGTAGGGAATGTGATTCCTTTCGACTGTGAAATCATTCAGAAAGACCAAAAAAGAATTTCACTGAAATTGGTTCCCTGGAAAATACAGTGTGCATGTGTCTGTTAATTTTTTTGAGACAGTCTCACTTTATTGCCCTCCATAGAGTGCTGTGATGTCACAGCTCATAGCAACCTCCAACTCCTGGGCTTAGGCGATTCTCTTGCCTCAGCCTCTCGAGTAGCTGGGACTACAGGTGCCCACCACAAGGCCCAGCTATTTTTTTGTTGCAGTTTGGTCGGGGCCACATTCGAACCTACCACTCTGGGTATATGGGGCTGGCGCCCTACCCACTGAGCCACAGGCGCCACCCTGTCAGTTGTCTTTTTCATATGATGTTTGTTTTGTTTTGTTTTGTTTTTGAGACAGAGTCTCAAGCTGTCACCCTGGGTAGAGTGCCTAGGCATCACAGCTCACAGCAACCTCCAAATCTTGGCTGGGCTTAAGCGATTCTCTTGCCTCAGCCTCCCAAGTAGCTGGGATTATAGCCTGCCACGATGCCTGGCTATTTTTTTTTTTTTTAATTGTAGTTGTCGTTGTTTTAGCTGGCCTGGGCCGGGTTCAAACCCAGCAGCCTCGGTATATGTGGCCAACGCCCTACTGAGCTACAGGCACTGCCCAAACCATGTATTTTAGTAGATAGGTAGTACATGTAAGTGCAATAAATTACTTACCCTATAGTGTGCACTGCTGAGAGGCATAAGTTAGAGAAAGGTTTCTTTTCTTTCTTTTTTTTTGGAGACAGAGTCTCACTTTGGTACCCTTGGTAGATTGCAGTGGTGTCACAGCTCATAGTAACCTCAAACTCTTGGACTTAAGTGATTCTCTTGCCTCAGCCTCCTAAGTAGCTTGGACTGCAGGCACCTGCCACAACACCAGCCGTTTTTAGAAACAAGGTCTTGCTCTGGCTCATACTGTTCTTGAACTTGTGAGCTCAGGCAATCCACCTGCTTCGGCCTCCCTGAGTGCTAGGGAAGTTTCTTAAAAAGCATCATTGAAGATTTACCTGTGAGCCTTTAGAAGTGTAGTTTACAGTTAGTGGATCTTGTAGTTTGAAAAGAGAAATAGTTGACTGGCATTTGGACACAAAACAATATAGCTATCAATTTGATAGCTAATTGAATGTTAGCTTGTTTTAGAGGTACTACTGGCTCTACCCCAAGCTTAATCTAGATCAAGGTGGGCTGGTTCTAAGGAATCACTAGTTGGAAAGCTTCCTAGGAGAATTGGGAAGTGTGCCAGATTCAGCCTAAATGTCTGATGTGGGCCATATATGGTATAAATCCTGTTCCACAGGTTATTCCAGGAATCAGCCTCATGAAATCACCTCAGTTTTATTCTCTCATTAGTTGGAAATTATGCAAAGTATTGAGAATGCGCCCAGTACTAGTAAATATACTTGTCTCTTATTTTTGATGTTTATGAATATTTTCCTATTTCAAAGTTAAGAATACAACCCCAAGGAAAATGTATATGAGAAGAGTATTGTTTTTATTGTGGGATAACCATGTCTATCTGAATACATTTAGGAAAGAGTTTGATTTGAAAATGATAGCTTTTAGTTTCTGTGGAATACTTCTTAAAATAGTGTTTTCTTGATAGAAAGCATAGGGCAGCGCCTGTGGTCAATGAGTAGGGTACCGGCCCCATATACCGAGGATGATGAGTTCAAACCCAGCCCCAGCCTAACTGCAACAAAAAAATAGCCGGGCATTGTAGCGGGCGCCTGTAGTCCCAGCTACTTGGGAGACTGAGGCAAGAGAATCGCCTAAGCCCAAGGAATTGGAGGTTGCTGTGAGCTGTGACTTAACGGCACTCTACCGAGGGTTAATAAGTAAAACTCTGTCTCAAAAAACAAAACAAAACAAAAAAAACCCCTAAAATATTTGGATAGGCTGCTTTTGATCATACTTTGGAAGGAAGTTTAATTGCAGATACTTGTCTAAGAGACACTCAGGAAAAGATCAGAGCAACTTTGTTTATAAAGCAAAAATGTTGGAAACAACTTGGATGAGTGAGTACATTGGTACTCATAAGACAATGTACTTATCGGAATGAGTAAGTACATTGGTAGTCAGATGGTGGAATGTTACACAGTACTGTAAATAAGTGACTCCATGCAACAATAGTTTTCACTAAAGGAAAGGAGTTCAGAACAATATATACAATATTATTCCACTGGGCTGGGTGTGGTGGCTCACGCATGTAAAGCCAGCTTTGCAAGGCCAAAGCAGTGGATTGCTTGAGCCTAGGAGTTTGATACTAGTCTGGGCAACATAGTGTGAGACACCGTTTCTGGAACAAATTTTTTGTTAAGTAGCTGAACTTGGTGGCACACACCTGTAGTCCCAGCTACTCAGGAGGATGGCTTGAGCTTGAGGCTACAATAAGCTGTGATTGTGCCACTTCACTCCAGCCTACATGACAGAGTGAGGGTCTATCTCTTAAAAAAAATTATTCTACTTCTATAAAGGTCAGAAGTAATATGTTGGTTTAGAGAGAAATGCAAAGGCTAGATGCAGCGGCTCACACCTGCAGAACAGTGGGAGGGTAAGGCTCGGGGTTTGCTTGAGAGCAGGAGTTCAAGACCAGCCTGAAAAAGAGTGAGATCCAATCTCTACTATAAAAACAGCTGGGCATGGTAGTGCATGCTTGTCGTCCCACATACTTGGGAGGTGAGGCAAGATGATGGCTTGAACTAAGGAGTTTGAGGTTGCTGTGAGCTACGATGACACCACGGAGACAGAGTGAGACTTGGTCTCAAAACAAAAAGAGGGCAGCACCTGTGGCTCAAGGAGTAGGGCGCCAGCTTCATATACTGGAGGTGGCCGGTTCAAACCTGGCCCCAGCCCAAAACTGCAAAAAAAAAAAAAAAGAGAGAGAGAGAAAGCTACATGTAGGTAGTAGAACTATGAAGAAAAAGCAAGAAATGATTACCAGGGAAGTTGGTATAGGGAATCTTCTAAAGGAGGGGAGGGGAAGCATTCAGGGGCTTCAGGGCACTGCTGATATTCTAGATTTTAACTTAGGTAGTAGATGCAGGAGTAAAAATCTCTTAAACTCTATATTTGCTTATTCTCATGTAATGTATTTCACAATTAAATGGAAAAAGCATATAGATTATAAAAGAATGGTGAATAAGGGTATAAAAAGCTATAAATAAAAAGAGATCTTTTGAAATATTCTTCTAATGCTATTATAAGTGATTATACAAGAAATATAATTGAGGGGAAAAAGAAAATAGCAGAGTTATTCTCAGTCTGTAAAATGCAGACTATTCAATTTCTGTAATATTTGTTTTGCAGGCTGGCATCAGAATTAACGTAACTACCGTGCAGGATGATGGGGAGACATCTAAAATACAGGTTTGACTTTTATGTTTCTAATATATTGTTATGTGTTATGCAGCCTATTTGATTTTTATCTACATCAGTAATTTAGTTAGATAATGTATTTTTGACATGTAGAGTAAGTCATTATTTATAAACACTGGAATTAATGTATGTGCTTGCTTTATTTTAAGGTTGTTCTTAACATCACCTATGAGAGTGGACAGGTATATGTAAATGACTTCCCTGTAAATAGTGGTGTAACTCGAATAAGCTGTCGGACTTTGATTGGTGAGTACTACTGAATTTTTCCATGATTGTTCTTTTTTAATAATACTAAACTAGTAAAACAATTTTTGGATGTTATATTTTAAAATAAAATAAAAATATATATCATTATTAGAATATATGATAACATTAATGTGTTTAAAACTTTTTTCTTATTTTAAACTGGCTATTCCTGTAATATTTACTTTTTTCTTCCGTGAGATCAGCACTAATGGAACTGCACTTCTGATAGGTTGGTATCAATGTAAGAATGGGCATAGAGGTAAAAAATGGGGATAGCTAGAGCCAAAATCTGTGAGTGCTTACCACATAGTAAAAAATAAAAGGAAAATGGCTTGGCGCTCATAGCTCAGTGAGTAGAGCGCCAGCCACATACACCAAAGGTGGCAGGTTCAAGCCCGGCCCACGCCTGCTAAACAACAGTGACAACTACAACAAAAAAATAGCCAGGCATTGTGGCGAGCACCTGTAGTCCCAGCTACTCAGGAGGCTGAGGCAAGAGAATTGCTTAAGCCCTAGAGTTTGAGGTTGCTGTGAGCTGTAATGCCACAGCTCTCAGCTGAGGGTGACATAGTGAGACTCTGTCTCAAAAAAAACAAGATAGAACCACTGATTGTAACCAGAGAATTGGTTACAATGCCTTGTTACTTGTAAATGTCATCTAAATAATCAAATTTAGTAAAAGATTTGGTGTCAGTTTTTGTTCAATGCTGTCACTACTTTTTTTTATAGTGAAGGATGAAAATCTGGAAAATTTGGAGGAAAAAGAATATTTTGGAATTGTGAGTGTAAGGATTTTAGTTCATGAGTGGCCTATGACATCTGGATCCAGTTTGCAACTAATTGTCATTCAAGAAGAGGTACTAGAGATTGATGGAAAACAAGTAAGATAGTATGCTTATTAATTGGGAATTAAATTATAAAGCTTTAAATTTGTGCTGGGTATTATGCATGTATTCAGTTATTTGTTTTTGACTTGATAAGGTTTCCTGCTGTTGCCTTTATCTAATCATTTTGATTTTTGTATACTTATTTTAGCATTTGAAGTGTATTTTTTTTTTTTTTTTTTGAGACAGAGCCTCAAGCGGTGCCCCTGGGTAGAGTGCC